AGGGGTCGGGCCCGGGACCCTACCGAGTTCCTTTCAACTGTACTGTGCACGGTGGCGGCAGACCCTGCAAGTGCCACTCACAGATACCAGTGCCCGTGTACGGACACCTTGCCGATCCTTGATAGTGACCTGTAGGGATGAGTGCGTGGCCCTTAAGGTAGTGACTTAAATCGGCCCTGCATGCTGCTGATTGTTTGTATATGACACTGAGGCTAAGCAATCATTTATTTTATGAGAATAAAAGTGAGAATAAAAGTTACTATTCCTTACATTGCTCAGCAATGTAAGGGATAGTAACCTGTAGGGATGCCCCGACACTGATACTGGGAATACTCATACTTGTGAAAATGCCCTGATACCAAAAAACTATAACAGCACTTTAACTTTTCAAATTGAAGTGGTGGTCTTAGGTCCCCCAAGCTTGTTGGAGACCTCATGGCAGCCTTCTGGGGAACCACATGGTTAAGGTGACCTGGTGGTTTCAAGCACTTCAAAAGTTTCAGTTTTGTGGTGGAGCACAGACCCAGGAGAGAACATCAAAATGCTGATGCTCTTTCCTGGGTCCATTACTATATCTGTAGAACTCACCCCCGAAGGAGCCGCCAAAATTACCCTGATCATCTCTAGTTGGTCTAGGGGTTTTGATAGCTGTCCCAATAGCATTTAATCTCCCTCTTCTAGTGCCCACAAAGCTGATGTCCACTCCAGAAGTATAATGCTGAAGAACGTTTATTAACATATTCACTCTGGGAGAGAGGGTATAGGGATCCTAGACATAATGGGTAGAACAGACACAGACTCCAAGCTCACCAGTCCCTTTTAGTAATTCAGTGTAGATCCATTTGGAGCGCAGTTGAATAAGTATTTGAGCAGCAGATGAGCAGCGATGAACACAAATCTTCAGCAGGAGAGACTCCAAACTTACTCCTGAGGTCCACAATGTTCCAGGCGCCTCCAGCAGTCATCAGCTTCCCTGGTTCTCCTCCTCTGACATCAGCAAAGGCCTCCTCTGGACTTGAGGCCTAGCGAAACACTTCCCACACTCAAGCATTCCCACCCCCATGCCTCAGGCCTAGCCTGGGGGCAGGCTGGACAGAAACCCAACCTGAGCTACTCCAAGGCTGGAACCCGCCTCCGACTAGACCGAGCACATGGCGCTTACCTCCAGTATATATGCACTTACCCAACATGCAATACTGGTTGAGAGAGAAACAATGATTGGCTGGTAAACTGCACACACACTCACAGTGTCCCTCATTGGATGTTCCACACTGCAGCAGAGTCACACTCCACCCAGGTAGGTACAATCAATGCCAGACACCTGGGATTAACCAGATAAATGCCAAATATAATTCAGCCGGACTGACTACAGCTCTGGCAATCAATACATTTCTAGGAGCCACCTCACAAAAGGTGATGGGGGCCACATATCAATATATTAATTGATGTATACTGTATTTCTTGGACGTGGGCACTTTAACTCCCAATGCAGGGTTAATTATAAAGTCCTGAACACTAAAGTGACTGGATTACTTCACCTGCATAACGTCCATAGAGAAGTTTAATGTCCAAACACACAGGTGTAGCAATCACACCCAGCCATGCAGAGGATAAAACTCCCCCGAAAGTTGCTAAACCTATGGCACCCTACACACCACAGAGACTTCCTCTTCTTCTGCATATTTCCTTTTCAGCTTCTGCACTCTTGACACCCTGATCCCCAGGGGATTGAATGTGGAATTCGACTTGAATTGTTTTTTAACTAATAAATGATTACACATATAAGGGACATCCACCCTATACCCATTTAAAAATATTTATTATGACCCTCCCCTTTTACACACACAGTATATCATTGTATCATAGCATATACTCTATTTATTCAGATGCCATCTACTCCATCTTAAATATTTGACATGACATTCCTTTTTATGCATATACATTTTTTTTTAATATTTATTTAAAATATTTTTACTTTTTTATACCCCAAAAGGGGGATCACATTTCGCTTAGTATAGCGCTGCACACTCACTTTTTTCACAGTGATTGGAGAGAGCCCTGAAAAAGGCTGCAAAGTTTGTGAGATATTAAATAGGCAATCTTTGTTTGTGAAGGGGATTTGATTCACAAATTTGGACATTTATATTTGTGCACGATTGTTCACTAAATTGCTTTGTAAAAAATAATTTGTGATCTCACATTTATATTTAAATGTTGTTTTTTTGGGGGGGAGTAAGGTTGAGATTTGAGTGTATTATAGCGCTGTATTTGAAGTGGTGTATTTGAGCAAAGTCGTGAACAGGATGATGATGTAAACAACATATCTGTTGCACCCCAATAATTCTTTTGAAAAAGATATGAGGCAGAATGCTATAACATTTTCAAGATCCTGCCGATCCCTCCCAGCAAAGAGCGGCAGACACATCCACATATGATATCACTTGGACCTCAGAACTGGCATTTCATGAAAAACAAAATTTGATTGAACATTTTAAATTGCATGGTGATCGGAGGGTGGGGTGGGTGGTACAAGGGAAGGTGTTTGATGTGTACACTACATTTACCCTTTAATCAGACTGGAGGTGAAGGCTCAGTCTCTCCTCCAGACATCTCATTTTAATATGTAAACTGTGAATTATCACAATTTTTTTTTCTTTCAGTCCAAACACTCCTGAAGGGACCTAAGTAACATTTTACTGAAGTTCTGACTTTGTGGTCCCCTGAAACACGTTGGATGTTTTACTATATTGATTGTTTTAAATCTACTATTGTTCATGACTATCAAATTGTGGTGGTGCCCCCTTCTGTTTACATTTGATCCCCCTTTATCTGCCAGGCAACACTTGTTTGTGTGGGAGCAGCCTCATCAAAAACATGTTCTAAACATCCTGGAGAACAGAATCACTCGCATAGTGTGAGTTTCTTAAAACAGTATGGATCTAGTGCCTCTTTCTTTCTACACATGCAATAATCCTATTGTTGACCATGCAGTGTAGATCTCCATCCTAATCTTTGGTCTTCTCTCCAGCACAAGGTCATGGATTTCTATGCAGGCACCTAGTGCCAGTGCCAAGCTGTACCTTCTTGGACTATAACATTTGTTGGACCATGGAAGAAATATAATACATTTGAATGTTGCAAACATTGCTTTGACCCTGCGTGTGGGT